TTCTCATATAGGCAAGATTTTCTACTGCATAAAAAAAGATAACGCCGGCATGATTTATTAGTAAAAAAATAGACAAACTATCTCTTCAGAGGTAGTTTATTAGTGTCATGAAGTTCCTTTAGTATGCGAGAGACCACTTCTTCCGGATCATTTTCTACATTAAGTTGATTTAATTGGATAGATTTTTGTAGTATACTTAGAACAGATTACAAATAAAAACAAGCATAGTACTTAGAAATAATAGACCTTTCATCCTTTGAATTAAACATATTAATAAGATCATCTACATGTTTTTTAATTATTTTTCTAAAAATTAAAATAGATCATAATTACGCCCTGAAAGAATCCTCGGGATATAAAATTTCTCTGACTTTTTTATTTGGAATCGGGCGAGTAAAATAAGGATCAACAGCAGGGGGGAATGCCTTATATACATCATACCACAGTGGCCTTTCACTATGTTTGATTACACCACTATCCAGAAGACCTTTAACTCTACATGCATATAAGTTAATCGAAATGCCAAAACCTCTTAAATATTGATGCAACAGTTTCGGTCCTAGTGCCAACCATGCTCTTATAAAACGCCTCACCTCGAAAATGCTGCTTAAAACACGTAAAGCATTTACTTGCATGAAACGAGCAAGGCGTTTGTGATAGTAATTTTATTAAATAAAATAAATAATATATAAAGTTAAATGCTGAGTTGTAGGTTTTGAACAGCGAAGACAAGCGAAATCTGGAGATTAGCGATGCTGTCAACATCATATATAACGGCTTAAAAAAAGAGGTAGGAGATTTTATTATTGTCTGCTTAGATTTTAGGAAGTGTAAGGAATAACACTATCAAAAAAACAAGACTTCTGATTCTCGTATAAGGACGTATATCCTAATGCATATACTCTCAATAAAAACGATATTAAAGAGAAGACGATTTTAGATACAAACCAACAAACTAGCCCAGCAATGGATGTCCCAATGTCTATGGAGAAATAGAAAGATGATTAAGATTAATAATATATATAATATTTAAGATTCAATTTCGAAAGCCGAGTTTGAGATCAGAAATAAATCCTAATTATT